TGTGCATGTGTGTGTGTGCCCATGCGTGCGTGAGAGAGAGAGAGAGAGAGAGAGAGAGAGAGAGAGAGAGAGAGAGAGAGAGAGAGAGAGAGAGAGAGAGAGAGAGAGAGAGAGAGAGAGAGAGAGAGAGAGAGAAAATGCATTTGCATGTGCAAGACAGTACATGCATGCACTGCATTTGAGTATGTGGACCCATGAATCTGAGTTGTGAGTCTTTCAGTCTGTGAGCATGTGTACAAGTAGATGTGCAAGTGCACGCATTCTTGTATGCTAGTTTCCATCCTAACACTGGCTACTCCATTACTCAACATTCTTATTAAAATGAAGAGGGTACAATGTGAGTTCTATATAGGGTGAAGCTAATATATAATTTCAAAGAAAATAAAATACCAATAACATCTACCTAAAGCCAGATCCGGTTGCTGAGGAGGAGGTTGAGTAAACAATGGAGCTGGCTGCTGCAATTGCTGCTGATGCTGCTGTTGTTGCTGTTGCTGTTGTTGCTGCTGCTGTTGCTGTAACTGTTGCTGCATCTCCACTATGACTGTCTGAGCTAGATTCACTACCAGCTCTTTTGCCTGGTTAAACTGTTCTTGGTTGTCATGTCTGAAATATTGGTAATAATCTTAAAAACTTAGGAGGAAAACAAAGACAAATATATAAAGAGGGGGAAATAAAAATAAATTGGAGAAAATAATCTGAGAATTATTTGCAGTTCAAATCAATGAAAATACATATAAAGCAAATTTAGCCGCCATGGATAATTTTGACTATTAAATCAAATTAAATCTCATTATCATGTCAAATGCACCCCAAAAAAGTCAACATGAAAAACAAACATTGATCTATTTTTTTCACTCTCTACTCATAATTTTAATTTTCAATGTTTTCATCACAATTTTGTAAGTATGCAAATGTTACTAAAACAAATAATGAAAAAAAAAAAAAAAATCTCTTCTTGTGAAATATATCTTACACATTTCTCTGCAGTTTTCAGTCCAGTATATACAATATTTCAAACTAATAGACCAAACTCCCCTAACATTGCTACTACACTTCTTGGACATTACATCACTCCTTAAATACTACACCAAAATTATATATCCTAAAACTCTTGAGGAATGTAACAGCATAAATAAAAAATCAAATAAAATATACTTAGCTTCCTATCTGGAGAGAATTTAGATATTAAGGGAAACAGTATAATGTACAGAGTTTAAATCTATTTTGTACCTATTCAGTATTTTTTGTTAACCTTGTGTCACCGTAGTATGTTACTCTGTATGCCTATATTGTAAAACTAATAAAATATGTTTTTTAAAACCAGCATCTTTTTCTTTCCAACCCATGGACTGAACATGCAGGAAATTTGTAATGTATTATCATATCAGGGGTGGAAGGAAATTGCACTTGGTAATTTTTATTAGTGAGCTTATTAGTTAGTTTTTTATTAGAAAGAAAAAAATATATATAAATTATAGTACTAGTAAAACATGCAAAAAATTTCACATGCACAGCAAAGTAGAGATTATCTAGGACACACAAGAATCTTGTCATAATAATTTTAATAGTGTGTAATTTCTAGAATTGAATTTGAACTGTTTGTCTGCTGGAAACCTATGACAAAGTATAAACATTTTAAAGGTATGCAATTACTGGTTAAAGCTACTGGTTACTTAAAATAACTTCATCCATTTCTACCACTAGAAGCATAACCAATACAAAAGTTACATGCCTTTCAACTAGTCTCCCCAGACAAACTTTGAACTAATGTTATCACTTACTCTAAGTAAAAGTGCAAAGAATCCTGTGCTTCCTGGCCAGTTGCATGTTCTAGGTAGCCAGAACCGATGCCACGAATTGATATGGCAACCCCAGTCTCATCCTGAATGTAACGTAGATTCATTCCACTCTCCCCCAGCAGGCGTGCTCGCACTTCAGTTGGGTTGAGTCCAATATTTACAGGCAGAAAGACCTTTTCTCTAAATATCTGAAAAGTTTTAAGTCAGTTATTATCCAAATCATAATTCATTTGCAAATTTAAACACAGTTTTGACAAAAGAGTATTTATTCAAAATTCTTTCAACTTACCCTTACCATAAATATACAATTCAGTTACATAAACTTTTGAATTGGTTTTGTTTTTCATGTTTCCCCTGCGGTCGTAAGGACAAGGTTTTGATGGCAGTAAGGTGGGATTTTTAAGCTTTTCTTTTTCATAGTATAAAACAAGAGTGCTTCTTTTGTGTAACTTTAACCCAATGCCACCAGGGAAAATGAATAAAAAATGGGGAAAATGCTATGCTCATTTTTTATTTTTGTGAAATGTCTCTGCAAATAGATGGTCCTGCTAGTGCTTAGCCACAAAGAACTTGTGACCTTATGTGATTTGAATTGGCAGGAAAAATGTATTTGTTACTAGTGCTATGAATATCGATGGTGTTATTCTTAATATAAACATTATAATTACTATGTTATAAACATTAGTAACAGCAAAATA